CCTATTTTAATGTATACATTTTATATGGCTTCGCCATAGATAGACTAAAATAAATGTAGAAACATCGGATTGAAACCCGAGCGTTATGTGTACTTCAAAAAGTAAACTGGACAGATGAGTCATTCTAGCATGTGTGGACATCGAAATTATCCTAGCGAGCCCCTTCTATTAAAACTTGATTTGTATTGGTTACTGCTCAACCAATAGGATTTTGAGGCATGTAGAAATCAGATTTGAGTTCTCCGACCTAGAAAACCTCGAAGTATCATTTCTGTGATCGGAACATGGAGCTCTACTTTTCGATCAATTGAATCGTGGACTAAAACAGAACCGATTTCCGTTTAAGTATCTTTACAATAGATGACTAAACCCTCTTGTTTCTTAATGTTTTACATACCATTTTGTAGCTCGTGCAATTCTCTGTCGAATGGTATATAATAGTTGGGGTTTTTTGTTCGATTAAGAGCGGAAAATTTTCTTACGAAAACCGACATAGGTCAAATGTTCACATAGAAAAGCATAGGGATTAATGACTCTTTTTGCGATAACTCAGCAATAGTTCGACGAATCATTCTCATCTTCTTTTCTCGATCGAGATATTGATGAGACGAAACTGTCTAGAAAATTTCATCACGATCGGACTCTCTTTTCGAAAGTTATCGTGTAAACGACCGGACGGACACACTGACCGATTCTATAGTGTACTCACTTTTTGAGTACACAAAAAGATTTTGAAAATAATTTCAATATCATTTTATGAAATGCGATCACTTGTATGTGGAAATGATGCTTTTTATTCTTAGAAATAGGTAAACAATTGTAAGAGTGTGGGTGTGACTATTTAACTTATTGGAGAGTTACTAAGTATCTAAATCTACACCTATACCCTGTAAAGTCGTTGGATTTGTGTCTGATACGTTCAGTTTTCATGAATAAAAACAGGTATTGATTAAATGTAAATAGATAGATTCAATTTACAAAAAAGAATCAATGAAATTTTTCCAAATATCGATTGGCGAACATCGATTTGAATAGCTGGAAAACAACAGAATCACACTTTATCGATCGATCTGAACTTGAATAATGCAGAACTCTGTCGACGTTCATTTGAAACA